GAGAGTTGTGTTCGACTCGTTTACAGCTCTAAATGCATATACCTGTGAGGTATCTTGAACAGAGGAAGTTCGACCCCATCTCTCTGGATCCCAAAGAATCGAGCTATTAAATGCAAAGCTCGAGATATGAAGAGGCATAGTAGTAGTAGTAATACTGGCATCTGTTGAATTATTCATCTTTCTCAAATGCCACCCTATAACTTCCGAGGAATCACAAACCGGTCCCTCAATTATCACCCTCTTCCTGTTTGCAGAAAGTCTAGCAATAGGCCAAGCCCCAAATGCCCTGAAAAAAATTCCCTTCAGCTTTCTGAGTAATGAAGTTTCAAAGCACAAAAAATAAATAAATAAATAAATAAACAAAGGTTTTTTGTCTTTTTGAGCTACATATTTTAAAGAAATTACTTACTCAATTGCTCTGATCTCCTCGAAGAAACCGAGATCATAAATGTTCGAAAGCCCCGCGAAATGCACTATCCCACTCAGCCTGTGATGTTCGATGTGGTTCAGTGCAATGTTCCTCTGATGATCCATTTCAGAACTCAGATCAGTAAAATTCTCCTTAAAAACGACGTGTCTGTACATAATCCCTGTTTTCCTTAACATCTCCGAAACTTTAGAATCATCCGATTGCTTTTCGACCACAATCCACAGCAACGGCTGAGTCACCAGGCGAAGCGTGTTTGCGAGCCTACTCAGCAGCAAGACTCTTAGCTTGTTTTTCGAGCTAGTTGGGGTGACTACGATTAAGAGCCTTTTCGAGTCTTTAAATTCCTCGATTTCGATTTTTTCTTCGGGGGCTTTTTTGTCCTTGTCTTTTTCAGATTCCGGTTCGTCCATCAGGCTTCTGTTGGCGTTCTGCTGCGTTATTTCTGGTTGATGAAGCAAAAGCTCGACTGGTTCGGGCGAGTAGCTCGACGAGAGTGACATGGTGACGTGGCTCGAGAAAACCGAGGTCTTGCTGATGGGGGCAAAGCCGGTGAAAAAACCCATCACAAAACACAGAAGGAAATGAAATACGGCCTTCTTCCATATTTGCACCTTCTTTCTTGATGATCTCTCTGTGGATCCCATGACTTGAGAAAAAAGAAAAAGAAAAAAAATCCAAGAAAATCTTATTACTTGCGCAAAGATTTGATTTTGTTTTGAAATGAAGTTGGCTATATAGAAGACTATGTTTGTGTTTTGTGATTAGAACTAAATACATTGGTGAGGCTTTCACTTTGAAGGGTCTTCTTGCCTTCAAGTGTAAGAAATGCTGTGCAATATAATGTTGCTTTCTGCACCAAATGGTTGTTGGGATGTTATGCATTCACCTAAAGTGTGGAATATAAAGAAAAGCAAAGTTGAACCAAAATGTATCCATGGTGTGTTGTTATTCATACAATTTTTTTGTTTTTTCCAAAAAGAAAAAAAAAACTATATACATTTATAATAAAAAATATTTTGTCCGAAAGCAGAGGAAATAAAGTACATGATACGCGTTAAAAGGTTTGGTTTTCAGCACTTAAACCAAAGCTGCTGTTCGAGGACTATTGTCTTCAGTGAGGGAGAAAAGTCGACCGTCTAACCGTTACACATTCCTCACACAAGAATTTGTGTTAGAATTTTATCCCTGTCCTGAAACATCATATTTTGTATCTGAACACACAGAGTTTATGCTATACAACAAACTCAAATAGAAGCCATCCAAACATATATGCTAAATTGAGAGAATGAAAACATTTCTTCTACCTTCAGTAAACCAAGGTGCATAAAACACATAATGAAGCTGTTCCCATAAAATGATAAAGTACAAATGCACACATAGAACAGAAGAAAAATCCCCACAAGGTACAACCGAGTCCAACTAAAAACATACGAATGGAGAAAAACAAACAAACCAAAACCACTAACAAGTTCAAACATTGTTAAAGTCAGCTTTCTCCTTTTCTTGGAAGTTCAACGGGCCAAAATACTCGTACCTTCAAAGATTCAAAACAGCACAGAAAAACACATTCTATTAAAATGTCACCACATTCTTCCAATCACTACCATTTCCAATCAACCTAATCTCTTACAGGCGGAAGCTTAGCCGAAACCCAACCGGGAGCCCTGTTCAGCCACAAAGCATCACCAGTCTTCTTATGCTTAAAATCTGGCGCTTTAGGGTTTTTCTTATTGGCCCTACAATCCCACCAGTTGTCTGGATTTTCAACCACATCCTTCCAAGAATCATCACTCGAGCTCTCATTCGCATGCTTCGGCTTTATCACGTCAAACTCCAATCTTTCAAGCCCGTGCAGGGCCCACTTGGGGGCAGAGCTAATCCAGAGAGCTTCTCTGGTCACCTTCTGCTTGAAATCCGGATGCTTCTCTTTTACCGACCCATTTTTCTTTAGCCCGCGATAATCATACCATTGCAGTGGGCTCTTCATGAGATCCCTCCAAAGCTCCATGTTTTTATCCGCATCTTTTTTCTTCCCGTCACCCTTTTTTAGACCCGACTCACCACCATCTGCACTTTCCAAATTTGCTGTCGGCTTTAGGGGCTGCTTGATATCATCATTCTCATTATCGTTATCATCATCAACATCATTATCCACTCTTTCGGTAATTTCATCATACACTTTAGCCTCATTCATACCAAACCCACCACCAATTTCCATCTCAGATGAACTACTACTCTTCTGAAACCCCTCCACAAAGTTGATATTCTCAGCCACGACGTGAAATTTCCCCAGGCTCTCGCCAGGGAGCACCCCCGTGGGGTCCACGCTTAGGTGGCCGGACACGAAAACAAGATCATTTTCGCGGACGTGGCACGACACAGAGTGGGCGAGGACGCCCTCGAACACGACGGGAATCGTCAGGGGGGTCCTCGCGCCTCCGTTCAGGAGAGAAATCACGGTGGCGGCGAGATGCTTGCCGTCGGCGTCGGACTCGAACCGGATGGGGAGCCCGACCCGGCCGATCAGATTCACAAAGTTGGTGACTTTCGCCTGGTACGGCATCTCGCCCGGCTTGGGCCACACGCCGGTCAGCGCCTCCGTCTGCTTCCGGATCCTCTGCGAGAAGGTCGTCGACGGCGGCGCGGAGGGTTTCTGGGCCTTGGGCTTGGCCGGGTTCTGGCTGACGTTGCGCGTCGTAGTTTTGGTGGAGTAGGGCTCGCATTGTTGGAGGGCGGCGGTTTGGGGGCGCAGATTGAGGAGGCGCGTTACCGGAGTGTTGGAAGAAGATATCAGATGCGACGACATTTTTGCTCTGGCTAGAAGATTCATGGCGGAGGATTTTGGGAGTGGAGTGGATCTGAGTTTTTCTCTAATTAGGGTTTGTCGAGGGTTTTGGGTTTTTCTTTGGAAACGATAGGAACAGATAAGAAGAACGATTTTTGAAATGGAGGCGAAAAGTCGATATTTTAGTAACGTTCTCACTGTTTTAGCGACATTTCAACTTTTTATATTATATTTGGTTTTATTTTGTTCTATTTTTCGATTTCTCTCTCTCTCTCCTTTTGTCTTTAATAAAATAATGTGTGTCATTGAAATTTTGCTTCAAAGTTCAAATATATAAGAGCATCTCCAACCATGAACATCAATTGTAGTATATATAACAATTAAATAGAAGAACTTTCATCCACGTGGAACAAATAGAAGTTCAAACTCATAATGAGTCTCCAATGGTTCACTTCTATCTTAATAAAACTTTCACTCCTCTAGCAGTTACACCTCTTTTTTTTTAACAAATTTGTTGTTTTTAATTAAAAATAAAAGAAGTGAGTGAGATGAAAATTGTGAGTCATCATCTCAAGCAAGACTTTTAAATGTAGAAAGAGTGCTAAATTTTATTCATTCTCTTTCCAGTCACGTAATTATAAATTAGCATCTAGACATTGAGGGTTGGAAGTGTTTTTTATTGAATTCCTTCCACAATTCTACAATTAAAAGGCCATTGGAGATGCTCTAAAAGTTGTTGGGTTCTGATTAGTTGGCGGATTGAAGCAGTGCAGAGTGATCGACAATTAGATGATCGGCATTGCCGATCGGGTGATCGATAAATCGTTTTCTTACTCTTTAGCCGATCATACATACGGAGGTACCATATCCAACATGGTATATTTGTAAAGTCGAATCAAAAGCGCGCAAAGATATATTTTGTACCATGGTAATATGCCAAATATAATATATTTATTAATTAAGTCGATTATTTTATATTTTTCAGTTCAAACAAGATGGGAGCAATCGAATTAAAATCAAGTGAGGATCATATATTGAACTGGAAAAAAGAAGTGTAATTGAAAACTTATGGATTAATGACGTAAACATGGTGTGGATAAAAGATAATATAATTTGTGTTGAATGGATAAGAATGCACATACTTTAAGTAACACGCTATGTATACAAAAACTTTATTCAAATACATATATAATTTTTTCCACCACCAAACTATATATGCATGCATAAAAGTGTACAGAAAGTAAAATCAAAATGAAAGAAGAATGCTATGTTATATCACTTAAATTTCACGATTCTTAATTTATTTCAACTGAAAACATAGTAGGTGGAGAATTTTCAGGAGTAAATTCTAATTTTCTCCTTCTTCTCCTCGCATCAGAATGCCATTGTTTGAGAACTTGTGCTACTTTTTCGTTAAATATTTCACCCTTGAAATGTGTACCCATCTGCAGGAAAAAATGCACAAAATTATAGTATATTTAGATCTTACTTGTATTTATAGTTAAAAATTAATCTATAATTTGACTGATTGAATTATCAATTTGGTGAATGAATCAGGTCATGACAAGATTAATATAAGTATTGTGTACACCTCTTTGTACACTCCTATGCACTTTTAGCATTTCTCTTATATTAAAAATGTCATGTTACACTACCAGATTAGATTACATATTAGATTATCGAAAATACAGATGACTACACTTTTTTATTTAAAATATTTCAACCGACTAGGTTTTGCCAATAGATTATTGGATATAAATCAATATATCAAGATAGCTGAACTCATATTAAAATAATAAGAGTATGAATGTTTGTCATTTTTATTTTAGGTAACTCAATTCATAAATTATTCTAACAATAATATAGTATGATAAATGATTTGAGGTGCTTTACCTGTGTGACGAGGGCATAAATTGGTAGAGTAATGTAGCTACACATAAACTGGACAGTCACTCTGAAATTAATGCGTGGGAAAAAGGTCAATTATTGGTTTAATAATTACTAACTGGGATATGATAATGTGAGATTTGACTATATATTGNAAAAAGACAATATATTGTTAAGTTAAATTTTTCTTACGTGCAATTAAATTAAATACTTACACGCTAACACAATCCTGACAATGTTCGTGATACGTTCGTGGTAACAAGAATCGGTTCCAAATTGTATCTACATAGAAATTAAATTGTAATTGTTTAATAAACCTCAATAAAATAAAGAGTACTAAATAGATTCCATATAAATTTAATAGGCCACTATTATAACAATTCGCAAAAAATTAATAAAAACGTTGGTGTCACATTATTGACAATATACTAGTACAGAGCCCGTGCAATGCACGGTTAAGGCTATTTATCCAGACTTATAATTATATACATGAATAAAGAAAAATATACGGGATATATTCGCACGAGATATATTTATTTGGAAAATATTATATTATAAGATGCAATATTCAAAAAAAAGTTTATAATACGCAAGAAAATTGTACAATGTTCAATAAAAGTCTTATAATATTAAAGTGGAGTCTTAAAGTCTCTTGTACATTAAGACTACTGACAAAATAATATTTTAATCAATAAGTTTCCTTTCCTTGCAGCCAATGAATATGATTTGAGGAGTACAACAAATCCATATATAGCTGACTTGCTTTTTTCATTGTAGTTTTTTTTTCTTTTTTTTTTTATAATGAATTTAAAGATATTCTAAAATATAGCAAAAATTAATTTTTTTATTACAATTAGGAATTTTACTAAATATGAACTCTCAATCTATGGTGTTAATCAACGTTTAAGTCTAAAAAATTAAGAATTTTTACCTCTTTTAATCAACGTTTAAATCTAAAAAATAATAGAGTTATTATAATTTTTTTTTCTACATCTTTTAAAACATTAAATATGAGCATGTTAGGGCTAGCTTGTAAAATAATTAATATATTATCTCACTAAAACATTTATACTAATAAAAATTTAATTTTAGCATATAAATTTATCCGTTGATATAAGAGAAAGTAACAGTTTTATTTATTGTTGTTCACCATATAATATTTAATTATTATTTTATTATATAATAAAAAAAATATTGTTAAATAGTGTAGTAGAATTGTTATAAAATTATATGATTTTTTTTTACAATATGAATTTAATATTTTTTTATGATTTGATAATATAAACAAATCTATACTTAACTTTGACAAATAAAACAAATAAATACTTTAGTACGTATTTAATGTATATACTAAATAGGAATATATTTGGTATAATCAAATACCAAATATAATCAAATAAGTCAAAGTGTACATTTTTATTTGGTATTTGATTTTTTTATTATTAAAATATTTTTATTATACTTACTTTTTTAAAATTAAATAAATAAATAAACTAATTAAATAAATAAAATATTATAATACCAAAATAGTAATGACATTTAATGCAGTTGACTTTTCTGGATAGTAAATGTAGTAAATAGAATCTCCTTTTATATAAGTATAGGTGTATAATACGGAAATAGTAATGCAATAAATGTTATTGACTTTTCTTTATACTAAATCTGGTAATGGTATACCTTTTAATATAAGTATAGATTCATATAATCAATAATAATTGATTCTTTAATAGTAGAGGGCTTGAGTGAGTTATTCATTGGAGGATATAATATTAATAAAAAAAAATCAACTTGATTTCTGTAATTTCAAATTGAGAATATCATCAAATTTATGGGAAATCATCATATAGAGCAGACTTTGAATACGTACCGTAACCCAGATGAAAAAGGCCATCTCAAAAGCGTTCTATGGCAAAACATCATATATTAAAAAAAAATAAATTAGGATTTGATCAATTGATGTAAAAAAAGACATTATATATGTATAATATAATTAATTATTATATAAGTTAAAAGAGTATTTATAAATTAGAAGGACATACCAAAAAAAGTGTCACATGCAATAAGTCCAACACGAATTCTGGTTTTCCAAGCCAAAAGAGATTGTCATCAAGTTCAACAACTCCAGTAAACACTTTTTTCTGCTTCTTAAGCTGAATTGCCATTTTTGCAACGATCACTTCCATTTTTGTGCCAATTGCTAAGACCAACTGTACATGCAAATAAAATATTAAGTATTTTTAATACAAATTGAATTTATTTTTATTTACTTATTTATTTATTATATTTATTTTTGTGTGTGTGTGTTCAAATTAATATATAGATTATATTTTTAGGTAATAGTACTCACCACCAATGGAGCAAACGATATCCAAAGATAAGAATGCCAACCTGATTAATCAAGTGATTAATTAAAGTATGTTTAATCATGCCAAACTGATTAATCAATAGATTAATTAATCAAGGTTGTATGAAAGTAGTTGTTGGAAAATTTTGAAAGTAGTCTCGTATCTAATCAAGGTTGTATGAAAGGTGATTTCATTTGAATACAACTAATTAATATATAGTAGTCTGATAATTTTTAAAAATAAGCTAATTTGAAGGCAATATTCGGAAGAAATTTGAATTTAATTTGGGTGGACATTTTTAATATTAATTGACTGATTGAAGGATAATTCTGACCGAAAATCTGAACTTTTGTAAAAATATTTTCAATTGATCAATTTTAGATACTAATGGAACTACAATCAATTTATTTATTTGGATTCGAACTAGATTATTTTCAATAGGAAACTATTTTTCACTTTTCCCATTTTTCCGAGTGTTAATTTCAGATTAATTAATTTACCATGAATATCCACAAGCATGAAGATAACAACCGTTAACCACATAAGTGGGCTGCATAGATAGCATCAGACGAAAGATTAGAAATGCCACACAACTTAATTAATTAATATCAGCATAATATTATTATTAATTTTTACTGCAATACCCTAAAACACCACACTAATCTCTCTAAGATTGGAATTATCCACTAACTTTGAATAATAAGCTTTTATTATTATTTTTTTAATATGGACCCTAATAAAACCGAACCTGATGCTGATTACAGTTTTGAAATCTTTATCCAAAGAATGCTTTATATACTTCTGAAAATTGAAGTTACTGAGCTGCCCAGCTGATAAATGTGTCTGCAATTCACCAATATAATATAATATTTTATGTAAGTTTATTCATCGAGATAATTTTTTTTCAACAATAATTTATATCATAGTGCACCCTAAATTCAAAATCTCAGCTTTATGATATACATCGCATCTATGCAATCTCGTGTGTCTCTCTTAAGTCTTAAATTCCTTAGTTTTAGTAAAAGATTTAACTAATGCAAGACTTTTGTGACAGTATTATTTAATTTAAGTTAACCTAAATCCAGAGGGTTTAATGCACGTTTTGGGACCAAATTTCAAGTCCAATAATGAGTGTTATTCACTTTTAGACCCCTCTTGCTGAATTTCTTGTTCATGCGTGTACAGATCACTATCGTATCATTGCTTTATTTTTGTAACTTTCTTTAAAAATTAAAACAAAATAAAATAATAAATTGTTAACTCAACGAGCCTTGACCGTGATTTTTCGTTTAACAACTCCAGTTGAGAAAACAAGACAAAAGGCTTTATACATTGGGTACATATTTTTGACTAATGTATTTAAATATGTACAATAATAATTTTATCTAATTTAGCCATCAAATTGGGCATTTGGTCTAGTGGTATGATTCTCGCTTAGGGTGCGAGAGGTCCCGAGTTCAATTCTCGGAATGCCCCATTATATTTACATCTTTTACTTTTTTTTTTCTTGGGTTTGACAAAACGTAATTGGGCTCCCAAAAATGGTGGTAATGGGCCTCTACTAAACAGAGTTGAATGCTAACGGCTCGCTTATTTTCTAATTAATTTGTCTAAACGTAATTGGGCTCCCAAAAATGGTGGTAATGGGCCTGTCTACTAAAGTTACACAGTTGAATGCTAACGGCTCGCTTATTTTCTAATTAATTTGTCTAAAATGAGTTATTTTAACTTTTAATTAAAGATAGTTAATTTGAAAAAGGGTGATATGGTTAATTGTTAGTGAAATTTTAAGAATGTATTAAATTAATATTTAAAATAAAATAGTTAAAATTGTTTTGATATAAAAGTAGAAGATAAATGATTGAAAATAATTAAAAATTATAAGTAGTTAAAATTATGTGAGTGGATGAATAGTGAATTAAAGTTGATGTTATGTATAAGAATGATTAGTTTGTATTATTTAATTAGATAAATAAAGTACGCATATATCCACATAATAATTTCAAAATACCCCTATTGCGATAGAGTTTTTTTATTGACATTTTTAAGATCTCCAACTATTCTTTTTCCCAAAATATAGTCAGATTCGATCAATATCTTATCTCTCCAATCACTCCCACAGTGGTAATTGTCAATGGAACTTCCTAATAAAAAGTACCCAACTTTTGAAAACGAATTGAATTCAAAACACTACCATATTTAGTTCAATTGCAGATAAACTTTCTAAAATTTTGTTTTTCAGAATTGTTTGAAAATATATATTGTTCATGTTTATATAAATTGTTTAAAAAATACTTCTATTATGAGATGAAATATATAAAAAGTTATACTAAGTTTATTTATTGCTTATATAATACACAAATGGAAAAATAAATAATATTAACCGTTCAATTTTGTATATAAACTTTAAATAAATTGTATGACAAAAAGGTATACTAAGTTTATTTATTGTTTATATAATACACAAATGGAAAAATAAAACATATTAACCGTTTGATTTCGTATGTATAAACTTTAAATAAACTGTATGGTAAAAAGGTATACTAAGTTTATTTATTGTTAATATAATACACAAATGGAAAAAGGTATACTAAGTTTATTTTTTACTCTGTTATTGCGCATTAATCTGTAATTAAGAATTCTCTCCTGTGAGAGCGAAAATTCCCTCTTGTGAGATTTTTTCATTACCTTGGTGAGGCTTTATTCCTTCGTTGAAGGCCTCGCTCAGTTTGGTTTTCAGTAATCATAATTCCTAAACTTCTAGTTTCACTATCTGTTGGATCAAAATTAGGGTTATTGAAGCCCTCCGAATGGCGACATTGGAAGCAGAGCAAGCTAATGAGGAATTATATAAGGAATTTGATAACTTCTCTTTATCTAATAAGGAGGCAAGAGATATCGAGATTGGGAATGAAGATATTATAGCGGGAGAAGAGGATGTCAGCCGAAGTCTCTTTGGGAAGATAATAGGAGATAGGAAAGCTGCGTTGGTGGGAGTAAAGAGAACAATGACAGCAATATGGAAGATTCAGCAGGCTATGGAAGTTCGTGAATTAGGTCCGAACTTTTTCCAATTTGTATTTCGATCTAAAGAGGATCTTCAGAAAGTAGCAGCAGGGAACACTTGGTTGTTTGAGAACCAATATCTAATCTTGAAGGAATGGAGAGACGGAATGAACATTAATCACAGTTGTTTTGAAGAAGTGGTGCTATGGGTTCAAGTGCATAACATTCCTTTGAACTGGCTATGTACTGATGTGGGATTAAAAGTGGGAAATGTGTTTAAGGGAATCCGGAATGTCGTTATTAACCAATCTGGTACCTCTGCCGGTAGGTACATGAGACTTCTTGTAGTTATAGATTTGAAGGAACCAATTCCTAGATGTACCCACATAAAGCTGGATAATCAAAGGGTGAGGGTGGCTTTCAAATATGAGAGGTTAGTGAATCTCTGCTATTATTGCGGCAAAATTGGTCATTTAGATCGAAACTGCAAGATCAGAAACGCAGACATTGCAAGGCATAATGTTAGCAAGGGGCAGTACGGAGATTGGCTCAAAGCGTCTGTGGTTATTGTTAGCGGACCACACAGTCATTCAGGGGGATCAGGTTTACATGGAACACACTCAGGTTCCCCTCAAACTAATTCAGTTGCTTCAACAGCAAATATCAATTTCACAAATAAGCAGGTGGGTGATAGTTCTACTTCAGAAGGAGCCAGTAAAAGAAGATGATGTCCACTTCAGAAGGGAGGAGAAGATGGTAGTAGACTCACAGACAGAAGGTATAACCCAGGACAAGATAGAGATTATGGGAGATCAAACCATAAATCACCAAAAGAAGTCCAAAAGTGGATCCTGGAAGAGAATGGTAGTTGAGGGAAGGAAGGTGGGGGTTTCAATGCCTCAAGAGGATTTTGTAGAGAACCAAAAGTCCAAAAGATCCATTGAAGAGGTTCTTCATTCTAATCAAAAGGAAGAAGAAGAGGCAGCAGCATCGCAAGCAGAGAAGAAGTTGAAAATGTCAGAGGAAAGGGTGGAGGTGACCAACCCAAAGTGGTCACAGGGTGAACCATGAATGCTCAGGTGTGGAACTGTAGAGGTTTGGGTGGCCCCTCCACAGTTCCCCAGCTTAAGGAGTCAATGAGGACCCACCACCCCCATTTTGTCTTTCTTTCTGAGACTAAAAAACAAAATAATTTTATTAAAACAGTTTGTAAAAAGCTTGGTTTTCATGATAGGAATGCTATTGTTGATCCAGTTGGTTCCAGTGGAGGTCTCCTTCTTTTGTGGAGTGAGGACATTCAAATCATCCAATTAAGAAAACACTCTTTTTGCATTGAGGTTCAGTTCAATGGTCAAAATTTTGAGGAATCCATTTGGGCTTGCTTTGTTTATATGAATACAGACAGGAGAATCAGGAAAGAGCAGTGGGAGCAGCTTACTCTTATGAAAGCCAACTGGGGAGATGTGTGGGCAGTCATGGGAGATTGGAATGATATTAGGTGTGTGGAGGATAAGAGTGGTGGTAGAACTAGATCAGCTGGGAGTTTTGAGGGATTTCAAGAATTCATAGCCAACATGTCAATGCAAGAGGTCAAAGCCAGAGGTTATCCATTCACCTGGGGAAATAACAGAGAGGGTGAAGGTTTTGTTGAAGAGATCCTTGACAGAACCTTTGTTTCTCTAGGATGGCTGACTAAATTTCCCAGTACTCAGGTTACCAATGTTTATAAGAGCTCCTCTGATCACTGTTTACTTGTAGTGGAGGCTATTCCAGATAAGCAGACTTTCAAAAGAAGGTTTCACTTTGATAAAAGGTGGGTGCACAAAGCAGAAGCAGTAGAAGTGATTAAATCTGCTTGGAGTTTTCCTCAGACTGGGACACCATTCTACAGAGTCAAGGAGAAGTTAAAGAAAACTAGAGAAGCTCTGATAAATTGGAACAGATTATTCAAAGCAGAAAAGGACAGCAAAATGAATAGACTCACACTCAGACTTGAGGAGATGCAAAAAGAAGCTGGTGTTAAAAATTGGGAAGAATGGGATCAAATTCACAGAGAGATTGATCAAGAAAATCAGAATGAGGAGTTGTTTTGGCAGCAAAAAGCAAGAATTAGTTGGTTAAAGGAAGGAGATAAGAATACCAGATTTTTCCATGCTTATGTTCTTCAAAGAAGAAAACTCAATGCAATCAGTAGACTAGTGACTGATCAGAATACAGTTTTGGAGAACAAAGCAGAGTTAGGGAATTATGTCTCATCCTTTTATGACAAGTTATTCACCTCAGAAGGCTCAAGTGAAGGAACTGAACTGCTGCAGAACATTCCCTCAACTATCACATCTCAGATGAATGAAGAAATTTTAGTACCAGTGTGTGAGAAAGAGATAAAGGCAGCCCTCTTCAGTTTAAGTCCTTTGAAGTCTCCAGGTGCAGATGGTATGTCAGCTTTATTCTTTCAGCATTTTTGGCCATTGCTTAAAGATGACTTGTGTAAGGCTGTTGAAAGTTTCTTTCAGACTAGTAGATTATTGAGATACTGGAATCACACCCTCATCACATTAATTCCAAAATGCAATAATCCCAGCAACCTCAGTCAATTTAGGCCTATCAGCTTATGCACAGTAGTGTACAAGATCATTGCTAAGATTTTGGCAACCAGAATAAAACCTTTTTTGCACTACTGTGTGGATTCAACCCAAGCAGCTTTTATCCCAGTCACGCAGTTGAGTGATAATGTTGTCATAGCTCAGGAAGTGTTTCACTACTTGAACAGGCACAGAACAGGAAAACACAGCTTCATGGCCATCAAATTAGATATGCTCAAAGCATATGACAGATTAGAATGGAGGTGCATTTATCACACTTTAATTAAAATGGGATTTGCTCAGCAATTTGTGAAGTGGGTTATGGAATGCGTGTCAACAACATCCTTTTCTGTTTTGGTTAATGGTGAGGTGTGTGGATATTTTACTGCTAGCAGGGGAGTGAGGCAAGGAGATCCACTATCAGCCTATTTATTCATCCTTGTATCAGAATTGCTATCAGCCCTTATCAAATCAGAAGTAGAGAAAGGGAATTTCAGAGGAGTGTCTTTGGCCAGAAACAGCCCTGTACTTTCACATCTGTTATTTGCAGATGATACATTGGTTTTCTGCAAGGCTGATGGTCATCATGCTAGAGTGTTGGTTGGATTGCTGAACAAGTACCAAAAATTCTCAGGTCAACAGGTGAATTTAGCCAAATCTTCCATTTTTTTCAGTAAGAATTCATCTCCTGAGCAACAAACCTCTGTCTGCCAAGTTTTCAGAGGCATTCAAATGCAGAGATCCACTAGATATTTAGGATTGCCTCTGGGAATTGGACAATCTAAGAAAGAGATTTTTAGCTATGTGGTGGAAAAGGTCAGGAAGAGAATAATCAACTGGAAGAATGTCTACTTATCCACTGCAGGCAAAGCAGTGTTAATTTCAGCAGTATTAAATGCACTGCCTGTATTTGTGATGACCTGCTTCAAACTTCCAGAGGGTATCTGCTGGGAAATTTCTCAATTATTTGCTCACTTCTGGTGGAGTAAAGGGGGTAATTCAGAGAGGGGTATTCATTGGAAAAGCTGGAACAAAATCACTACTCCAAAAGATCAAGGTGGCCTTGGTTTTCAAGACATAAAGCTCTTCAACCAAGCATTATTGGTTAAACAAATGTGGAGAGTGGTCACACAACCTGAGTTATTGATGAGTAGAGTGCTCAAGAGCAGGTACTTTCCACATAGCTCTATTTTTGAATCTAAGCTCAATAACAATTCATCATGGCAGTGGAGGAGTTGGTGGAAGATCAAGTGGCTACTTCAGGAAGGATTGAATATTGAAGTTAGAAATGGGGCTTCTGTTAAAGTCCATGACTACAATTGGATCCCTGGTGGGTTGAAAAGACAGCCATTGCTTAAAAATGCAGACAGAGACGGGCAAATGTGGGTAAAAGATCTCTTGCATGAAGGAGGTCACCAGTGGAACGTTCAAAAAGTCAAAGCAGTGTTTCATGAACAGGACAACTCAGCAATTCTAAATCTGAACTTCCTTAACCCTAATCTGGTGGACAAATGGAGCTGGAACTTTTGTTCTAAAGGTAGGTTCAGTGTTGCTGCCTCCTACTCATATTTGATGAAAAAGAAGCTGCTGCAACTTGATATTGCGGAGAGTAGTACATCAGCAAGCAGAAATATGAGAGACAGACACAGGAGCTGGTCTATGCGAGTCCCAGGTAAAGTAAAGCACTTTGTGTGGAAGTGTGTTAATGGTATTCTCCCAGTGAACGTTAATCTGAAACTTAGAGGAGTTCAAGTTGATCCTATTTGCAAAGGATGTGGAGAGGAGGAGGAAACCATTGAACACATGTTATTCAAATGTAAGAGAGCAAGGAACACTTGGAAACATGCACCAATTAATTGGGATGGCATTAATACAGGGAATTGCAACTTCAGAGGATGGTGGAGTCAAGTGTGTGACCTTGATAAGTCCGAGGTTTCCGAAGCCCGTATACAATTGACAACTTATATCCTATGGTGGCTTTGGAAATCAAGAAATTTGTGGCAATTTGAAAACATTTGGAGACCAGAGAAGGTTACAGTTCGAGAAGCATGTCGAGCTTGGAAGGAGGAAGTAGAAATGAGAGCAAGTTCAAAGAGAATTAACCTGGTTACTGGTTAGGTCTGGTTTAGCAGCACAGTTTCTAGTATCAGGTTTTTTCCGTCTATGTCTGGTCTGATTGTTTAGTCATTTGGATAGCTAGCGACTTCAGTGTTTAATCTACTGCGCTAACTTCTGTATTTTTTCCTTATTTGTATTCTAGGCCACTTTTATGCTGAAGTGGTTCTCTCTGGCTCCGGCCCTCGGTTTTTTTCGGTTAGTTTTTAGTTTGTGTTCTTATTCGGGTTGTACACTGTTCTGGCTCCGGCCCTTGATTTGTACACTGTTCTGGTTTGTTTTCGTTTTTATGAGAATTTCTATCGTTTGAAAAAAAAAAAAAAAATTGCGCATTAATCTTGATCGAGATTTTCTAATGCCATGCAATTCATGCAGGAATTGGACAGGCAAGTTCCTCTAATGGATGAGATTGACGAGAAGGTTAGACCTAAGATTCCCAAAAAAATAAATAAATAAATAAATAAAAATAAAAGACCCTCTTCCCTCATCCCCCTCCAATTTATGATTTTTTGTCTTGTAACTTTTTGTCTCTCTTATCGTGTCTCTGTTCACGTACTTTGTCTCTTTCTAATTAATTTGACCATTTTTGTAATCTCAACAATGAATACTTAGGCAGTACCTTAGTCTTTGTTCAGCTTATTTGCTGACTTTTACATAACGGTACTTCAATTTTGTGAGCGATAACTCTATGCAATTATTTTGACTATTTGTAGGTGGACAAAGCAACTTCTGATCTTAAAAATACGAATGTTAGATTGAAGGACACAGTTAATCAGGTACAAGTAAGTTTTCATATTACCTTCTTTCTTATTCTAAAGCTCTTGGCAAACATTAAGATTGTGTTTGGATAGCATATAAGCTAGCTTATAGCTTATTTGATTAGCTTATAAGCTTTCTGTATTCAAATAAGTTTGGTTTGGTAGGACGAACTTTTTTAAAAACCTCGAGCTTATTTCATAGACTTCCTTAGGTAGCTTTTCAAATAAGCCCATTGAAATTTTTATTACACCTAGCTCATCAGCTAATTTTACCTCACACTTTTAGAATATGAGCTAGCTTTTCAGCCATAAGCTATCAACTATAAGCTCAAAATTCACTTAAAAGCTATAAGCTAGCTTATTAGCTACATTTACATAGACATAGCCTAAGAAACTTGTTCTCTTATGATATATCCATTCCCTTCAAATAAAACTTAGTCGTTGACAAGGAGGCTCTGCTCTACTCTAAATTAAAAATCTGAAAAATGATAACAATAAAATACATCACAAATTATGGTGTTACTGCTAATGGTTCGATTGTCATAGTTTTGTAATAAAGATATTTATTATATAATAAAAATGTCACTTTTATTCCCTAACATTTTAGACCGCATCTTTTGGTGAACTGGTTTTTCCTTACCTCAGGACCAAATTAGTTATTTGGAGATAATCAAATGCTAGTTTTTTATTTTTACTGTACTCTAATAAATTTTGTGTTGTTTATTATTTGGCAGTATCCTTGTGAATCTGTGATGCCGTGCTTTATTTGTACACGCAGCGTGGTACGGAACATGAAACTAATCAAGACACGTGTCTCTATCACACCCGTCCAGTACATTTGGATCCTAGGGTCCTCATCGATCAAGCAAATCTTGTCAAATTTGGAACGTACATCAAACTACAAGGGTAAAACAGTAATTGCACATCTCGTTGTGAATAGGATAATTATTCGGGGGATTTTTTTTTTTTTTTCAACAAAATAATTTCTTTGTTAGAATTATTAACTTGCTTGCCCATACAATGTACAGACTACCGACAACTTCACGCCAAGTCAAGATAGCCAAATTTTATATAGTAAGGTGTATAATTAGTGTTTTTATCAATTGCCTACCGCGTGTTATTTTTACTTGGAAAATAAGTTTAAAAACAACATGGCGACATATTTATTAGCATATGAGTAAATGATGAACATGCAATGTTGAAAATGCTCTGTATAAACAATTATGAATAGCATCATATTCGATTCTTGCGAGTTCTTTCACCAGTATGATTTTTATTAGAAGTTAGATGTCCAGCATATATCTACATGAGATGATTTACTTTTATGTGTGTGTATAACATAGATTAATATTTATGAGATGAAAGTTAAAAATAAAAATGAAAAAACAAATTGTTAGTATAAGAGCAACTATATTCACTACAACAAAATGATAAAATTCCAACAGAAAATTCCACTACAAATACATTGTAATAGAATTCCAACGGAAATTCCAACAAAAAAATGTTTCGTTGGAATGAGTTTTCCATTGGAATTTCCGTTGGATTTTAGAGATTCCAACGGAGATGGAAATAAAAATTCCAACGGAAATTGCATATTCCAACGGTAAAAAACAGTTAGAAATTAAGCCGTTGGAATCATCAAATTCCATCTAAAATTCCAATGAAAAACTCATTCCAACGCAATATTTTCGTTGGAATTTCCGTTAGAATTATTCCAACGGAAGCTATACCATTGGAATATCCGTTGGAATTTCCATTAGAATATATTACCGTAGGATTTTCTGTTGGAATATAACAATTTTTTTGTAGTGATTGTGATTGGAAGTGCGTGTGTAATTTTGGGTTCGAGCAAACAAGCATTGGATGCAATCAAAATTTTCCAAAAATAGGAAAATAGACAACCCCATGTGTAACGAGTCCCAACCAAATTGTATTATTCTTGCAAACTTTTAACTATGATTCATTTATTCTTCCTCATACTTCGCAAAAATGTACTATATATTTCCTCATAAATTATTATTTTTTAATGTTATCCACTTTGATAATTCTCAAAACCTAAAAGTGCTTGTAACAATGAATTTTGTGAAAAGTATAAAAGAATTGCACAACTTGAATTTAATTCGATCAAATAGTATTGTGGGTACAATTTTGATGTGTACAGTGCTATAATCTCCCGAAGTATTATGATTTTTTGAAAAATAAACATTGAAGTAGTGATTAATTGTTTTTCATCTTGTCAAGGTGCATGTCATGCATTTATGATTCTAAAAAAATATTGTATACAAATCGAATATCGTCCTCAAGTAAGGATTAGCAAAATCGAATCGAAATAAAAAATACAAGAAAGATCATGCAATTCGGTACGGTTTGATTCATTTGTTTAGTGGAAAAGATTTTCGGCTCATCAGATTTTTAATTGTTGCAGTGCGGTTCGACTAATTTTTTTTTTTTTTTCAT